CAGGCATGTGGTGTCAAAGAACCTACTGAAAATGAAGACCAGCGTGATGGTGATCTGGAGAAGGTCTGAGATGAGCAGGTTGATCACGTAGACGGGAGCCACTCGGCCGGCTTTGACCAAACTGAACAGAGCATAACAGGCCAGGCAGACGGCAGGAAGTCCTATGAGGAATATGATCCAGTCCACCACGATACCTATCATGTTTGTGTAGTAGGGTGGATCCAGACCACATGGAAAGGCACTGATGTTGTTAACGGCAGTCATCTGATTACCAATGAGTAGTATTTGCCTTGACTGTTTTGCTAAAAAGTAGAGATATGTCCTTTCCTGGTAATTTGAGATGCGTAGGTTAGAGTCCTTACTTGGTGATGGAGCATTGATCAGCTTTTGTCTGCATGATCTATTGGGGCAAATTGAAGAGGGTGAATGTCTTACCCAACCCCTCTACAATTCCCTGTAAGAAGTGAAAAGAATGCTAGTACAAAAAGGCTAAATTATTCAACACTTTTCAATGACTGTTTTTGCTCATCTGTTGCTTTACTGGAAAAAGTCTCTCATCTAAAATGGTGAAACTCCTCCCTATATAATCCCTAGATGTTTCACTCTGTTTTACATAGTTATGTGCTTACCTTGTCTCTCTGCGTCTGTCAATACTAGTCACGTTGTGTCCTGTCTGTCTCGACAACATTTAGTTATGAAGACTTATCCACATCCTGGGCAGAACCATTCCAGTACTTACCCTGCTGTTGTTATCACATAGAAACATGCAAACCATGTTTGCCATTTAAGGTCAGTGCTCGGGAAATAAGTCAGGGGGCTGACATCACTCTGTCTGCTGTTCTGGTGTTTCTCTTCCTACCAATCTCACTCAGTCAATAATAGGCTATCAGGTTAGACGTATTTGTTTATATCCATTTTGTGCGTACTGTAAAACAATGACACCAATTGACTCTGGTTAGCCTGACAAAATGATAACATATATAATGATGCCATAAGCAGGTGCCATAAAAACATAGACGATGAGCATATGCAAATAACAAAGTGTTTATAAAGACTGCATGCTCACCCCTACTGTTGTCAACCATGTCACATTGTGGCCACAAAGGCTGAATAGTGAGCTTTGAAACACAGCAGGGAAATGTAACATTTGTAGTGTATTGGAAGTTTAAAAAGGCTTCTGAAGTTTGTAATTTCGTCTTTTAAATTTCAGACTTGATTTTCCATGACCAAAAACGTATCAACCCCTACAAAAATGTCCATAAATTATAATCCACATAATAATTCTCATTTCCTGTTGCTGCAGGATTGTTTTCCTGCTGTAGCAAACTGGCTCAAATTAAGATCCTACATCTGTAGTTGTAGAGCACAAACTGGTTAAATCAACATTGTTTCAACATAATTTTTCAACATATTTTGACAAGGAATCTACATGGAAAATACATTGGATTTTGAGGGTAGAATTTCAACCACAGGATTATGTCATCATGGTAACCAATTTTCAACATAGACAAACCTTGTATAAAATATGTTGAATTTGTACCTTTGAAACAATGTTGGATCTTCAACGTAATATCCACTATAAGAAAAAAACAATAGTCTGGGCAGCACCTCCTACTGGAGAGTTGATCTATCTACAGCGATCCCTTCCCATCCAGGGTTTTAACCAAGCCCAGCCCAGCTTAGCTGTGATATTTGTCACTGACTATAACCAATGCGCTATCGTGATAATGATTGTTGAGAAATCTCTGTAGCTCAATTGGTAGAGCATGGCGCTTGTAACGCCAGGGTAGTGGGTTCGATCCCCGGGACCACCCATACGTAAAAATGTATGCGCACATGACTGTAAGTCGCTTTGGATAGAAGCGTCTGCTAAATGGCATATTATTATTATTATTATTAATAATGTAGATTCACTGTTGCTATCAAAGCAATTCCAAAGGGTAGGTTCAACAGAGCAAATGAAATGTAATCATACTTTATCAATCATATATTGTATCATCAATGATGCTATTTAAGCTTATATAGCATTTGGGAAGTCATCAACAGCTATTGTTAAAATTCAGCCCAGTATTCAACTAAAAATAGACTATACATATAGGCTTAGGGTTTCAGGCTTTGGTTGATTTCAAATGGAATCTACAAGTTAATAATAAATATGTTGGATTCACGTCTCCATTTCAACCCAAAATCTAAGTTAATGAATAGGATTAAATCAAATCAAACTATATTTAAAGTGCATTTAAAGTTTGATTTTATTTAGTCCTATTCTTTAACTTAGATTTTTGGTTGAAATTGAGACATGAATCCAACATATACATTATTATTTTGTAAACAAACTGGAAATAAAGCCAGACTCAGCGGCACAGATGGAGCTATCCAAGCAGCAGAAACATCTCCTTCAAATGTTGATATTTGGTTGACAACCAAACACAATTCAATATCACTTTTGCAATACTGTAAATAGCCCATTAACACATTTTATCGTGACCTTGGGACTATGAGGTTCAATCTGTGCAAAGCATAGTTCTGAGATATTGAGCATAAAAGTTTTCACATCCCAGATCTCAGAAATGTCTTGTCCTGAATTCTTCTTTCTAAAAATTAGTAACACATCCATTGCCACATTTTGAGCTTAATGTAACAATACATGTCTTCTTATGTAATCATAGAATGTGGGCATGTTCAGGGTCGCAGGTCTGGAAATCTTCACAATTGCTATAATAATCTGCACAGAATCTCAAAACGTCTTTGATCACTTGCACCATGTACTTTAATGTAATCTCAATTGCAAATCAGGTATTTGGTTGTGCTATTAGATGAAGCATAGTGATAAAACATTAGGTTGTGATATAACCAAATTCCAATGGAAAATCTATGCCAGATAAAAAGAAATGTCACCTAAATGTGTTATCACTGCACTTTCAACCATTTAAAAGCACAACAATACAATACATTCCCATTTGAACTTTTTTGTGCTTTTAAATGGTTGAAAGTGCAGTGATAACACATTTTGGTTACTTTTTTTTTTTTTTTTTTATCTGACATTGATTTTCCATTGGAATTTGGTTGTGCTTTTAGATGGTTGAAAGCATAATGATAACACATTGGGAATTCAACAAACTTTTGGCTGTCTTTTTGAGTGGGTGAAAATAGGCTTGATCAATGTATCTACCAAATAACACCCAATTCTCCACGTTTACTGACGTGTTGTGCCCAGTGGGAATATAGTGATTGCCTACTACTGGAGAGTTGCTTTCACTCCTCCACTTACCTCATAGCGCTGCAGATGAAGGAAATTAGATGAGGAGAGGAAGCCTCCATAGAGTCTTGAGATGCACCCTTGCGCGCTGAGTAGGTCATGTGCTCTCTGAGGTCAGTCCCTCTGCTTAAACAGACATTGGGATTAGCCGGCTTCTACACACAATGACAGGACAGCACCCAACGATGGCCACACTCTGACAGCCCTGGGACACAAACAGGTAGGGGGAATCTATACTTTATAGTGGACGTTTGAACAATCAGAAGAAAGAAAGAAAGAAGAGAGTTTCATCAGAATGTGTATAGGACAGTTGTAAACCGGATAGGAGGATCATATAGGCAGGCAGGCCGGTAGTTCCGATTAGAGCGATGCCTTCCATTGTGTGTAGATAGCCACACACATATACGTAGGAAAAAACTTCAACGTCCCTTGTCTGTCACGAATGTTGAATACAATTATATTTGAACTTACTCTGCCGATTATCCATTGCGTTGGGTGAAACTCCTCCCTGACTCGGAGAGACAGTGGGTCGATATTTAATACAAAATATCCACAGGAAGTATTATTAAACCTACTTCAAAATGCGGGTCTCTGTGTGTGGCAATGAAGATGTGTTTGCTCATGACCTAAGGCACGTGCACAAGACGAAAGTACATGCATGCATACTAACCAAAGTCTTGCAGGTGTTTACATGGTTTTAAGCATGTGCCAGACGATATACATTTCAATGCCAGAACCAGCACTCTAAAAAGTCGGGTAAATAATACTTTCCTGTGGATATTTTGTCCAAAAAAATGACCCACTGAAGGACCAACCGCACAGACAACCAGTAGAGTAAGTTCAAATGTAATTGTATTCAACATTCTGGCTTGTAAGGAAACTTTCCATGTTTTTGCAGTGGTTTGTTTCAGACTGTATACGAAGAATTGGTATCTCAGTCTGATTTATTAGGCAAACAGGCGGGCAGGGAGGATGATCCCTTGATCCCTCCATTGCAACAGACAGGGATTGGGATGAGCTTCAGGTCAGTGTTACAACTCCATAGGACGAGAATAAACTCAGTGATGCGGGTTATACTAGTTCGCTACAGAATAAACAGTCCTGTCTGCCACCAAAGACAATGGGAAGATCTTGAGGTGTTCTAATAAGAGGACAATTGCCGAAGACCTTATAAACAGACTTAATGGTTGATTAGTAGGCAGATAAAGAGAGCAGTTGGGCCGTTGTAGAGGACTTTACATGGACTGAACAGGCCCTGTTCTTAATACCTAATTCCTAGTATTAGTTTTTACATAAGTGACTTTGGCGTGAACTATGAGTGAACACTCTTAGAAAAATGGGTTCCAAAGGGGTTCTTTGGCTGTCCCCATAGGAGAACCCTTTTTGGTTCCAGGTTGAACCCTTTTGTGTTTTGTTCTGGGTTTTGTTTGTTTCTTTGGTTATTTTGTATTATAAATGCTTGAGTATGGGGACAGCCAAAGAACACTTTAATTAAGGTTCTAGATAGCACCTTTTTTTCTAAGAGTGTACTGTAAACCTACCTGACCCCAGGACTCACAGCTTACAACGGTCATCATGTGGCTTCTAAGAACTGTGGCTTGAAAATAAGATGTTGGGAATTAAGATGATTTCAACTGCTCATTATTTTGACAACTTGACACAAGTTTTGACATTATTGTGATGTTTTTGTGTGCAAAGGTGCCTTTTCCCTTTTTGTGTTCCTGTTGACAAAACGGTTGTCATGGCGTCCCTGGAGGAGGAGTTGACCTGTTCGGTGTGCCGCGATGTCTTCAGCCAGGCCCAGCCCCTGCCTTGCGGCCACAGCTTCTGCCCAGCATGTGTGCGAGATGCCTGGGGCCACGGGGAGGCGGGGGTCAGGGGTCGCTTCACCTGCGCACAGTGCCAGGAGGAACAGGGGGTGGTGGCGTGTGACTGCTGCCCCCCTGTGGGGGACGGGGACCAGTCTGGGAATGCCGTGGCGGTGAAGACCTGTCTGCGCTGTGAGGTGTCTCTGTGTGCAGAGCACCTGAAGCCCCACCTGGAGCGGCCCGCCTTCAAGACACACCTGCTAGTGGAACCTCTGGGAGACCTGTCCCACCGCAGGTGTCCCGCCCATGAGGAGATGTTCCGCTACTACTGTGCAGACGAGCGGGTGTACGTGTGTGCAGACTGTCTGTTGGAGGGTGGCCATGCACAGCACCGGGTTAAAGGACTGAGGAAGGTGGAGGAGGACCTGAAGGTCAGTTAACGACCTGTAGTTTCTTACTGCTTGTGTTATAGTGTGGCTATAACAGTTCTAAATCCGTGTGTGTGTTTCCACAGGTCATCCTCCAGAGCCTTCTCCAGAAAGCAGATGAAAAGCTGAATAAAGGTGAACAGATCCTCCAAGAGCACCAGAACACTGACCGCACTATGACAGTAAGTAACCACACACTGTATGCTTATAGCAGTCCATCAATTTACTGTTCATGCTTATGTTAGTCTATCCGGCCTTCTATTCTGCCCTGACGTTGAGTCTTCTTATGACCTTAGAGTCTGTGGTGGTGGTTGTTGTCCCCCTGCAGGACTTGTCTTTGGCAGATGACTCCCAGGTGGAGCGTATGGGTGTAGCCCTGCAGCTGCAGGTGGAGAGGCTGGTGCTGGCCCTGAGGGAGAGCACCAGGAGGGAGAGGCAGCAGGCCATGGAGCGCCTCCAGAACATCTGCAGCAGGGTGAGAGAGGACCTGAGCCAGACCCAGGACATCCACCACTACCTGGGCTCCCTGCTGGAGGAGACAGACCCCTTCCTGCTCATCTGGGTGAGATGTTTATTATTAACCCTTTTACCAGGTACCAAGATGACTAGAGAGGGGAGAGGGTTTGAAGGAGCCAATTGGAATTTGGGGATGAAAAGGGGACCATGGTAGTAAGAGGAGCCAGTTTGGTAATTCAGCCAGGCTAGTGGAGTCAACACCCCTACTTTTGGGACAAGTTCCATGGGATCATTAGTGACCACGCCAGAGTCGGTACCTCCGTTTTGTAATATGGCAATACATATCCAACCTCACAGTAACCATTTCAGGTAGTTAATCTCTGGGCGTTAGACACAACCTTTGAGTAACGTCAAACAAACCAAAAAGATCAAAGCCATCATCTCAAACCATCGGATGACATACAGTACGTCACAGGTAATCATTCTGAATCTGAACATTCACCTTTGTACTGTACTGCAATGTTTTAACCACCTACTGTATTTATTTACGAGACAGCATCTGTTGTACACTACATAACGGAGGATTTCAACTAATCTGTTTACCTCCCTGTCCATCTGGGGGAGATTCACAGTGCCATTTGTGCAGGATTTGTACGATGGCATTAAAGGCTTTCTGCTTTAATTCGTTAGCCGTCAATTAATGTCTATTTTCTTGAGATAGTAGATTTTGATTAACTTTATTAAAGGGATAGTTTGGGATTTTGACAATGAGTCCCTTTATCTACTAACCCCGGAGACTCTGGAGAGATAAAGGTCTTCATTGTCAAAATCCCAAACTATCCCTTTAACAGTTTTGTGTTATTGTCTTATAACAGTGAATAGCAGTGGATTTTAAGTCTTATAACATTCCTTGACTCCTTTTCTTTTGTTCTGTCCACAGGCATTTCAATCTGATGACTCAAGGTAAATAAAGAATAGTCATTCATTAGTATGATATTGTGTGTATTTTGTCTAACCTGCTACCTGCTGTGCTCTGCTTAACAGGCTGCTTGCGGACCTGAACTGTCCCCTGTTCACTCCCGACTCCCTCAGCCTGGACAGGAAGTACATTGTGGAGGATATCGAGAGCAAGTACCGAGAGTTCATCACCGAGACACTGCGCTGTCTCACCGAACTCAAGAGAGAGCTCTGTGAGTGCACAGGCCAAATCTTCAACCCTTATATTTGAGATGGGAGGAATTCAGGCTGTTTATTCATTCATATACTTGTTTCCCTCTCTGTGCTTCATGTCTCAGTATGTGCTTCATATGTCTGTTTCTCTGTTTCCATAGTAACAAGTCCATTGACTCTGGACACTAACTCTGCCCATCCTCTCCTGAGCATTTCGGACGGCCTGCGGTCAGCCATGCGGGTCAAACAGCGCCTTCCATGTGCCACTCACCCTGACCGCTTCGACCACTGGGCTCAAGTCCTGACCGTCCAGACCTTCTCCTCAGGAACCCATTACTGGGAGCTGGAGGCAGAGGGCTTCTGGGACATTGCGGTGTCCTACCGGAGCATCGGGCGGAAGGGGAAGGAGGGCACTGCCTTTGGAAATAACAAGGTACATTATCATCACTCTTCTTCCTCTTCTACATATGGTCTTTAATAATAGTAACAGTTGTGGTAATAAGAGTAGTATTAGATATTAGTTGATTTATTGATGGTGTTAGCCAAGCCTTTTGGTATTTCTTTGTAAACTGATCGATGACTGACTTAAATTGGTCTATTTAAACTGACATCACAAGGGAGATTGGTTGGTTTCTCTATTGACTGCTAGATGATGGATGAGGTTTTGACTTGCAGATGTCTTGGAGCCTGACGCAGCAGCACGACAGGAAGCTGGCCGCCTGGCACAACCGCAGGAAGACCCGCCTTTCCAGCCGGATGTCAGGCAACCGTGTGGGCGTGGCCCTGGATTATGGCGCAGGCACCATCACCTTCTCCGAGGTGGGGCCTTCCAACACCCTGACCCACCTGCACACCTTCAGCACCTCCTTCAACCAGCCTGTTTGCCTAGGCTTTGGCCTCTACAAGGCCGAGCTCCACAGCAGAATCTCCATAGTGAGGGTGTGAGGGATCATCAGGGACCAGATAATGAACATTATATTTCTATAGCTGGGACACCTTCGGGGTGGGGCTCAAGGATGGAGACTTTGTGGGAGGTTTCCTTCTGGAACATTGCCCGGGATCTCATAAGGGATTGGACTATGAACAATAGAGCTTGTGTGAGCATGAAGAATTGTAAGACTACATTCTTACAGAGCTCAGGACTTGAAATACTGTGAACAATGACTTTGAATCGGTAAGGAATGGATGTGTATGTCCTACTTTTGTAACAGTTTAGGGGAATTTGAAAGACCCAAGCAACTTGGACCCAAGGGAGAGGGTTTTTTGATCAAATACATCCAAACTACAGGACAATATTCTGAAAGAATTAGAAAAGTACACAATCAGTGGATAGTTCTAGATTCTTGTGATGTAACATAGCTATGGGGTCCCATTCCCTTTTATGAGTTTGTTTAGACTATTTTTTATGCATACAATAATCAATATAGGTTCTATGTACCAAGCTAAATACCATAAATGATGTAGGTAAGTTAAGAAAAGGTGGAAGGTATGTGGACTGAACCATATTGTAATATAGATGACAAAATCATCAGGCATTAGAAGCTTTCACAAAAGTTAAATTACACTGAGTGTACAAAACATCAGGAACACCTTCCTAATATTGAATTGCACCCCCTTTTGCCCTCAATTCATCGGGCATGGACTCTACAAGGTGTCGAAAGCGTTCCACAGGGATGCTGGCCCATGTTGACTCCAATGCTTCCCACAGTTGTGTCAAGTTGGCTGGATGTCCTTTGGGTGGTGGACCATTTTTGATACACACGGGAAACTGTTGAGTGTGAAAAACCCAGCAGCGCTGCAGTTCTTGACACACAAACCGGTGCGCCTGGCACCTACTACCATACCCTGTTCAAAGGCACTTAAATATTGTGTATTGCCCATTCACCCTTTGAATGGCACACATACACAATCCATGTCTCAATTGTCTCAAGGCTTAAAAATCCTTCTTTATCCTGTCTCCTCCCCTTCATCTACACTGATTGAAGTGACAGCAATAAGGGATCATAGCCTTCACTTAGATTCACCTGGTCAGTCTATGTCATAGAAAGAGCAGGTGTTCCTAATGTTTTGTACACTCTGTGTACACAGGCCATTATATTGAAAGGGATTCACTTGAAGATTCTCAAGGTAGATTTATAGTCTATAAATCAATGTCATAGATCGTGTCAGACTGAACAATGTCACAAAATGACCTTCGACATTAAAACATTACAGATGCAATACTTTCACTGCCACTTTTCATTGTTAGAGAAAAAATGAGTGAGAGCGAGAGAGAGAGAGAGAGAGAGAGAGAGAGAGAACGCAGTGGGTCCTCTGGCATAGCCATTAAGATGCCTGTTTCAAAGAGAGGTGTCTGATACTGTAGAAAGTGAGAACAGAGAAGAGAGAGGTTACGAGGAATGTGTTGCTATCACTTCATCTCTAAGGACCAATGACTGACTTCAACTGATATGGAAAGCAAGGAGGACACCTTTCAAACTGAAACAGGTGATATCCTCAACTCTTTTTTTATTCACTTAAACCTAGACTCCAGGATTGTATTACAGTACTCAGTGAATAAATGCCTAGTTTTGCAAATCCCTACATTGCTTGTGTTAAAATCTCAGATCATTCAGGAAGACAGTTCATCTTCTGACTGTTTATTAAATATTGGGGACCAACTCTATAAAACAAACCATGTTGGGTCCGTGTGAGGGAGTGCATGGGTGTTTGAAAAGCGAGTGTATGGTGGTTTTAAAGGGTTGTTTATAACAGGGTAAATCACTAATGGCGTAGTTTTAGAAGGTTGTTTATGACAGGGTAATCACTAATGTCATAGTTTTAGAAGGTTGTTTATGACAGGGTAATCACTAATGTCATAGTTTTAGAAGGTTGTTTATGACAGGGTAATCACTAATGTCATAGTTTTAGAAGGTTGTTTATGACAGGGTAATCACTAATGTCATAGTTTTAGAAGGTTGTTTATGACAGGGTAATCACTAATGTCATAGAGTGTGATCATCAGAGATGAGTCAGTGTCTTTTTACACTTGAATTGACGAGATTGTAGAGATTATTTTAGAAGGAAAGAGAAAATCACATTATAAACACATGTTAAAGTCTAAAATGTTGTTCTATAGGTAACTGCCAAAATAAAGGAAACACCAATTTAGTTTCTTAATAGGGCGTCGGGCCACCACGCGCTGCTAGAACAGCTTCAATGCGCCCTGACATAGATTCTACAAGTGTTGGAGGGATGCGATACCATTATTCCACAAGAAATTCCATAATTTGGTGTTTTGTTGATGGTGATGGAAAAAGCTGTCTCAGGGGCCGCACCAGAATCTCCCATAAGAATCTCCCATAAGATCTGGTGACTGAGACGGCCAAGGCATATCGTGAAACATCAGCAAGTTAAGCAGTCTTCGTCACTAAAGCTCCTGCCAAAAGTGCCCCAACAATCACCCCTCTTTCAAAGTCACTTGAGATCTCTTCTTCTAGCCATGGTAGACAAAATAATGGGCAACTGGGCCTGCCCAGCATTTTTATACATGACCCTAAGCATGATGGGATGTTAATTCCACACCTGTGTGGAAGCACCTGCTTTCAATATACTTTGTATCCCTCATTTACTCAAGTGTTTCCTATATTTTGGCATTTACCTGTATTTATATTATCAATAGAGGATGAAGTGCCATCTTCTCTGTGTGATATACAGTAACCATATATTTAAGGAATTAAGTGAGTAAATAAAAGAGAAGGACAGAGACACTAAGTGAGAACATGGTGGGTGAGGGGAGGAGGGGGGCATGTTGTGGAACGTCAGGAGGGAGAGAGCGCATGTGAAAGACAGATGGTCTCTCAGTGGAGTTGCTCCCCCACTCCGTCTTTCTTTCTCACTCCCTGCTGGATTGTACATCCTCCCCTGACACCGGTACAGAACGCTACCTCATCCCCTCACTAACAATATTCTCCTCTTCATCAGCTTCTCTGGTAGCCAATGCCAAGATTCCTCACAGGTGCCCTATCTTTACCTTTCTCCCTTTATCCCTCCCTCCCTCCCTCCCTCCCTCATTCTCTCTCTCAGGTCTTGTACCATGATGAAGTAGATTGGAACACACCCAAACATCTATTTGTCCTTGCCATCCTGCCCTCTACTGCCACAGTTCCAAACAAGCACAGAATCCACAGGAGAGACATCCGTGAGAACAGAGTGAGAGAGATCGAGGGAGAGAAGGACAGACCGATAGCATTGAGGGTGATCAAGGGAGAGAAGGACAGACAGATAGAGGGTATGTGTTCTTAACTTGGCTCCTGCTGCTGAACACTAATAACCCCAAAAACCTCCTGGTTGTCAGTCATACCTGTTGACTCACCTATGTCTTTATTACTGGGAGAATTCCTACATAGGGTCTACGCTAGGAGGTGGGATAAGAGAATGCTGTCTTAGACCAGGGTGTTCGACCAAGTTCAACCAATTGAGGACCCTAACGATCCTGCTGAAAATCAGACACAACATCAACAACATTTAGGGCCAGAGTAAGCAAAGGACAGAATATCGAGTGATTTAAAAGTCTTACACCTATTTTGCCTGAGCATGTGTATCTATGTCTCTAAGTAACATTCCTCCATAACAGAATCAATCACATATTTACATTCAAAACATAGCCAATTAAAAGCATGTATCCCAGGGTGGTTCGTCCATCCAACTTCGAGCCCACAGTGCTGCTAGGGCTGCTGCTCCTATGGGGGCCTCTACGGTCCCAGGCCCAGAATGACACAGAGCCTATCGTCCTGGAAGGCAAGTGTTTGGTGATCTGTGACTCCACTCCCAACTCTGAGCCAGCGGGAAATGCCCTTGGCATGTCAGTACGCTCAGGCACCGGCCGGGTGGCCTTCTCTGCCACCCGCCAGACCAACCATGAGCCCACAGACATGAGCAACCGCACCATGATCATCTACTTCGACCAGGTGAACAAACGCAAAGAAACATTGACCATATAAAGTAGTACATCAACAGGTGAAGTTGACTCATGCTTTCTGATTAAGTAATTCCCTTTGGCTGTTGATTGATTTCTCTGATTGATCATTGATGAATTCTTGATTTTTATACCTTACCACCACTCCCCATCTCTCTTATTCTCCTGTATTCATTCTCTTCATACCTTAGATCCTGGTGAATGTGGGCAATCACTTTGACCAGGAGAGCAGTGTCTTCCTAGCCCCCAGGAGGGGAGTCTACAGCTTCAACTTCCATGTAGTGAAGGCCTATAACAGACAGACTATCCAGGTGAGAAACACATACACACCACAAATACATCGTATGTAGCATCCACACGTCTCACATACGGTTAGTTATTTGGCATTGAGACTCTGGGGTTCTTCTCCAGGTTAGTCTGATGGTGAATGGGTGGCCAATGATCTCAGCCTTCGCTGGGGACCAGGATGTGACGCGGGAGGCAGCCACCAACGCAGGCCTGGTGATCATGGAGAGAGGAGACAAGACCTACCTCAAACTGGAGAGGGGAAACCTGATGGGCGGCTGGAAGTATTCCACCTTCTCCGGCTTCTTGGTTTTTCCCCTATAGGGAGACAGTCAGCAGGAGGGAGAGGAGGACAGAGGGAAAATACGGAGAGAAATAGGGATTGGGTGGAAAAGGGTGCGACTGAGAAAGATATATGATTTCATGTCTGAGAGAGACAATTATAGATGAGGGATGGAGGGAAACCGAAAGACATAATGAACATTGATAGCTACGGGTATTTGAATTGTCTCATTCCGTGTCCAGTCTGTGTGTAACTTGTCCTGTAGGATGGAGGATCGAGATAATATTTTTGTTCAGACACCAGAGTTGATGATGTGCAGTATGGTACAAAAATGGCAATGTGCAATCAATTTGTATCTTTTTCATTTTCAAGTAACAAGAAAAGTAAATCATGTAGCCCCTTAAAACATGGCAAGACCTTAATGCAACATTTGATTGACATTTGGATTACCTGTTAATCTGGCCAGCCCCCATGGTTTCCTGCTTTGTTTAACCTGTTTGTCCTGTGATGGATTATATTTCCCATTTGCCTGTATGTGTTTTGCAGTGTGCATACCTCTTATGGAGATTTAAACAAGTCATATTAAAATGAATATATACATTAGCTCTTTAGAGGTACAATGTGAATAAGATTATTATAAAAAAAGAATTCATGCATGTTACATTGCATGTTACATTTGGCTACAGAGTATCAATATTCACTCTTCCCTTGTGTTCTTCATTGAACCAGAATCCTGACAGCTGTTTGTAAATATAGCTCTCGCCACCAGAGTTGGCACGGTGGCAGGGCATTGGCAAGTCGGGAGAGCATAAGCATAGTGAATAACGGATAGTCCTCATAGGGCTAACAGTTGCGCACAAACAGATGGAGGCTTTGGCGAGCACACAAGCATGTCTTCGCCGGACTCCTGTGGCTCAAGTGTGGTGTGCTGTCACAACTAGTCAGTCACGCTTCCCTAGTTAGGGGTTCAGCAGCCAAGCTGGTGAAACCCTATTGTATTTGTTTGCGTTTATTATTATTATTAGGGGTTCAGCAAGCATAGGCTGCTGAAGACCTATTTTTATTATTCCGGTTCATTATTATAATGCATATTTCCGTGAGATGGTAATGCCTACAAAGGTGCAACTTAACATGATGGTAAAGTCCCGTGGGCCACACCATCTCATGCAATCCCATGCCAATTGGCCAGATGGTGGTGCTATAACAAGCGATTGAAAATGCAAACTTTGGAAGCTCACGCCCCTCGCAACATGTGACCTAGAGTCATGAAATTCGGTACACAGGTCTCTCTCCTCACAAGAAACACATTTTCCTCAAGGACCCATAACGTCTGCCATGATGGATCTTCTGCCATTTTGAATTTTGTGAAAAACACTTAAAATGCTACTCCTTGGGCACCGAATGACCAGTCTACACGTAACTTGATAAATGTCATGTATTGGCCAAGATCTCTCAACGCAACATTTTCCAGACTATACCTAAAACAACATGGCTGCTATTTACCGATAAACATTCAGATTGGCGTGACCTGGCACATAAATGCATGTAAATTAGACACGGATAGTCGTCTTGTAACAAAATTTGTAACACATGTTCCAAGCACTGTCAAGACTCAACCTATGTAAGCACATTCAGATCAACCACACCGTGGCGCTATAACTGGCACATTTTTATATCACTTGATCTGTTTGACTGAGTGATGAAATTTGGCACACATGCTCAGGGATATGCATCTAGCTAACCTCTAAAGTATTGTTTAGTTTGGCCGCATGGTGGCACAGATGGACAGGAAAAACAATTTGTCTCAAAGTGGCCATATTGTTCGAGCTAGAGTCCTGGAAAATGTTGCGTTTAAAAACATGGGTACATACTGTAGATGCTATGTACCAAATGTGGTGCTGATCGGTCCAGCGGTCCTCAACATCATTGAAAATGTTCCAAAATATCTCAAAAGCATATTATATTGCATAATCAGTTTGATTTTGAGTTCTGATATTTGTCAAGCATGGTAAATAGTACAGAAGTAACTCGTCATAGGGAAATTCGTAAACATTTTCCTGATGGTGGCACAGTGGACGCACAGCTGAACCCTGGTAACACTGCTTGCAGCATTAATTATTATTCCTCTACTTCCGTAAGGCCAAATTAAAATACAAATTCCTGTGAGATGATAAAGCCTAGGAGGATGCAACCTGGTATAATGGTAAAGGTCCAAGGGCCACACCCTCCCCTGCAATATCTTGCCAATAGGCCACATGGTGGTGCTATAACAATCGATTTAACATGCCAACTTTGAAAAGGCACGCCCATCACTTCTTTGACTTAGTCATGAAATTCGGTACATAGGTCCCTCTCCTCACAACGAACAAATTTGCCTCAAGGACCCATGTCTGACATGATGGATTTTCCACCATTTTGAATTTTGTGAAAAATACTTAAAACGCTACTCCTCTGGCACTGAATGACCAATCTGTACGTAACTTCATATGTGGCATCTATGGACAAAGTTCTCCCAACGCAACATTTTCCAGACTAGTACCTAAAACAACATTGACCAATAAGCATTCACATGGGCGTGGGCTTACGCATAACTGCATATAAATCAGTCACGGATATTCATATTGTAACAAAACTTGGTACACATGTTCCAAACACTGAAGACTCAACATATTCAAGCACATCGACCACACAGTGGCGCTATAACAGGCACATGTTTATATACCTTAATCTGTTTGATTCAGTGATGAAGTTTGGCACACATGCTCAGGGATATGAGTCTGGCTAACCTGTAATGTGTGGTTCAGTTATGCCGCATGCTGGTGCTGTTGGACATGAAAAACCATTCATGCAAGCTCATAGTGGCCATATAGCTTGAGCTAAAATCCTGGAAAATGTTGCGTTTAAATAAATGGGGACATAGATGATATATACCAAATTTGGTGCCAATTGGTCCAGCGGTCAAGAAGATGTTTAAAGTAGCCAACATCATTGAGGTATTTTGGACCATTTTCAAAAGTATAATATAGCATGACTTGTTCAATGTTGAGTTCTGATATTTGGCAAGTGTGGTAAACAGCACAGAAGTAGCTTATCCTAGTGCAATATGTCCAATTTGTCCTGATGGTGGCACAGTGGGCACACAGCTGAACCCCGGCAACACTGCTTGCTACTTTAATTCATGATAGGTCTACATAGCAATAACTATCACCTGCTCTGTAGGTATCAAGAAATTGCCATTATACAGTGCATTCGGAAAGTATTCAGACCCCTTGACTTTTTCCACATTGTTACGTTACAGCCTTATTCTAAAAATGGATGAAATTGTTGTTTTTTTCCTCAATCTACACACAACACCCCATAATGATAAAGCAAAAACAGGTTTAGAAATGTTTGCAAATGTATTAAAATAAAACGAAAATATCACATTTACATAAGTATTCAGGCCCTTTACTCTGTACTTTGTTGAAGAACCTTTGGCAGCGATTACAGCCTTGAGTCTTCTTGGGTATGACGCTACAAGCTTGGCACACCTGTATTTGGGGAGTTCCTCCCATTCTTCTCTGCAGATCCTCTCAAGCTCTGTCAGGTTGATGGGGAGCGTCGCTGCACAGCTATTTTCAGGTCTTTCCAGTGATGTTCGATGGGGTTCAAGTACGGGCTCTGGCTTGGCCACTCAAGGACATATAGAGACTTGTCCCGAAGCCACTCCTGCGTTGCCTTGGCTGTGTGCTTAGGGTCGTTGTCCTGTTGGAAGGTGAACCGTCGCCCCAGTCTGAGGTCCTGAGCAGGTTTTCATCAAGGATATCTCTGCACATTCCTCCGTTCATCTTTCCCTCGATCCTGACTAGTCTCCCAGTCCCTACCGCTGAAAAACATCCCCACAGCATGATGCTGCCACCACGATGCTTCACCATAGGGATGGTGCCAGGTTTCCACCAGACGTGATGCTTGGCATTCAGGCCAAAGAGTTCAATCTTGGTTTCATCAGACCAGAGAATCTTGTTTCTCATGGTCAGAATCCTTTAGGTGCCTTTTGGCAAACTCCAAGTGGGCTGTCGTGTGCCTTTTACTGAGGAGTGGCTTCCGTCTGGCCACTCTACCATAAAGGCCTGATTGGTGGAGTGCTGCAGAGATGGTTGTCTTTCTGGAACGTTCTCCCATCTCCACAGAGGAACTCTGGAGCTCGGTCAGAATGACCATCGGGTTCTTGGTCACCTCCCTGACTAAAGCCATTCTCCCCCAATTGCTCAGTTTGGCCAGGCAGCCAACTCTAGGAAGAGTCTTGGTGGTTCCAAACTTCTTCCATTTAAGAATGATGGAGGCCACTGTGTTCTTGGGGACCTTCAATGCTGCAGAAATCTTTTGGTACCCTTCCCCAGATCTGTGCCTCGACACAATCCTGTCTCGGCGCTCTACAGACAATTCCTTCGACCTCTTGGCTTGGTTTTTGCTCTGACAAGCACTGTCAACTTTGGGACCTTATATAGACAGGTGTGTGCCTTTCCAAATCATGTCCAATCAATTGAATTTACCACAGGTGGACTCCAATCAAGTTGTAGAAACATCCCAACGATAATCAATGGAAACAGGATGCACCTGAGCTCAATTTCAAGTCTCATCGCAAAGGGTCTGAATACGTATGTAAATAAGGTATTTCTAAAAACCTGTTTTCACTTTGTCACTATGGGGTATTGTGTGTAGATTGAAGATTTTATTTTATTTAATCAATTTTAGAATAAGGCTGTAACATAACAAAATGTGGAAAAAGGGAAGATGTCTGAATACTTTCCGAATGCACTGTATATCACCTAACTCTGTAGGTAGCGACAATTTACGATTACAATTTGTTCTCTGTGCACTGTTCTACAATTACTGCGTCCAAAATACCACAGTCGACTGCAGTTACTGCACTTTTACTGCAGTTTCAAAACTGCAATCTTTTTAAGGGTATATTTGGTCAGATTACTGCCATTCAGTTCCTTTAAAACAGGGATGGGCCACTCCAGTCCTCAGGGGCCGGAGTGGTGTCACACTTTTCCCCCATTCCTAGCAAACACAGCTGGTTAAACTAATTGCATTCTAAAGTGAAGATCATGATTAGTTGACTATTGGCGTCAGGTGTGTTAGTTGGGGCTGGGGCAAAAGAGTGACACCAGTCAGGCCCCTGAGGACTGGAGTTGCCCATCACCGCTTTGAAATGTCATTGGGGACAGACTATTGGGTCATGCCTACATGGGATACAGTTTTTATTTTTTATTTTAAGTGTGATTTTTAGCTAACCCTAACTCTTCTACTAACCTGCTGCCTTAATTATCTTAAAATTACAGCGAAAAGTCATCTTTGACAAAATATGTATCCCTTCTAGAAAAAGGGGGAGTAATGAACCCAGGTGCCACTTCAATATAATATCCTGAGATTGGATCATAAACGACTGCGATAAAGACAATTTGGAACATAGCCACAAATATACAGGGGGCTGGGTTACTTGGGTAGAAAGTAACCAATGGTAGTAACGCATTACAAGTAATCCGGATTACGTGGTTACGTAATCAGACTACCGCAGTGTGCTTTGTCTGTTTCCACAAATTGCTGTCTCGCACTAAATGCAACACATTGTACGGATAATTTGTTTAAAA